CAAGCCTGATTTTTAAATTACGATCTGTTATGGAGTGAAGTATATCCCCCACCCTCAATTCTGATGTTAAAACCCTAACCCCCAGCATGTCAGAATGTGGCTGTATTTGGAGACAAGGCTTCTAATGAGGTGATTAAGCTAAAATGAGCCTGTTAGGATAGCTCTAATTCAATCTTCCTGTTGTCCTTATAAAAAGAGGAAATTTGGATACACACAGAGACAACAGGGGATGTCCCAGACCACACAAAGACACATCTCTAAGCCAAGAGGAGAGGCCCTAGGAGAAACCAGTACCTTATTCTTAGACTTCCACCCTCCATAGCTATGAAAAAATAGATTCTGTCCTTTAAGCCACTCATTTAGTGGTGTTTTGTCATAACAACTCTAGCAAACTAATCTACTATCTTAACAGGACATCAACTACTAGGTAGAAGGCCCTTCAATTAAGTAGGCTTTTTTCCTCTGGTGCCATCATCTGGGAAAAGCAGCCTATTATAGAGAGAAATCAATGAGTGATTCAGTTCGATCTCACATCACAAAGGGCTTTAATCATCAAATGGGGGATTAAGACAAAGTGCTCCAATAATCCAACATCAAGCTTATACATTCTAAATCCTTGATATAAGGCCTAAAATAGGATTATCTATAGGGTCAGGGAAGGGTGACAGGGCAATTTATTGAAAGAGATAGGATAAGCCATGTACCAATCTCACAGTTCCTACTTAGAACAAGTGATTAAGATCTTCAACAATCTGAACACAGTGGGCAGATCTATATCACTAGGCAGGTTTTCCTATCAATAGGAAAAGTATTGATAAGCTGAAGGGTATTTTCTTTTTAATAATGTATTTTATTTCTTTTAGTCATCCATGGTACATTTCTGGGATGCATTTAAAAGAGTTAAATTTGAAGTATGACATCCATTTTGATACAAACTTGTGCTTAAAAAAAAACTTTTCTTTTTACTTATATCACCATCGTTTTTCCTAGTACAGGTAGGAACATATATTTGAACCTGAAAGCTTTTATAATTGATGGCTGCTCTTAAAGCCAATTGTGAGGTTTTATGTTTTTTATTATCTATCAAAAATCAACATTTCCTGCTTCAAAGAAGCTATACCTCTTTTTTTTAAAAAAAATTATTACACTTACATTAAGATTATCAGCTTATCAGAGCTTTTCTTTGCTTGTGTAATAAGAAAAGGAAAAAAAATACCCAAATATTATCCATTAACAGACCATCCATGCTAAAGCAAATTTCCACTTGATCATACGTTTCATACGTTCTGCTTTAGGCCACCGCCCAGCACCCAGGATGGATGCCTTTCACACCATTTCTAAGTTTGCTGACTTCTGGTTGGTTCATTGTTCTGAAGAAGCTCCTCTGGTATGAGGAGATGTATGAGTTTTCTCTGGTTGCTGTAACAAGTTACGACAAGCTTAATGGATCAAAACAACACACAATTATTTCTTACAGTTCTAGAAGGCGGGAGCCCAAACTCTGTTTCACTTGGCTTGTCAATGGAGCCGGTTCTCTTGGAGGATGGAGGGGGAAAAAACATTTCCTTTCCTTTTCCTGGTTCTACAGTTTCATTCCTTGCATTTCTTTCTTATGTCCCCTCATTCCATCTTCAAAGCCAGGGACTTAGCCTGGCCCATTTCTTGCTGTTTTAGTCACATCTCCACCTTCTTTGTAGTCAAATTTTCCTCTCACTTCCTCTAATAAGGACTCCTATAATTACATCGAGCTCACTTGAATAATCTAAAAAATCTCTCTGTCACAAGATCATAACTTCATCGTGGCTTCAAGTCAAAGAAGATAACATTAGCTTCCAGGACTGGGACATGAACATCATTATTTATTCTACTACAGGTGATATATGTGAGGGTGGGCTGGGGAGGGAGTGAAGGTGGGAGTGAAGGTGATGCTGTCTGATAGTAATAACAAGTATGTTGAATGCTCACCATGTGCCCATCCTAGCACCATCCTGGGCCTGGACCCTTTATGAGCATCAACCCATTTAATCCACAGCATCCTGGTACCTGTTGGTGCACAGTGGTGGGTACATACCAGCTGTTCTCAGCCTCTCAGCCCCTCTGATTGCTCACATTCAAGGCCATTCAACCAGAAAGTGGCAGAGCCAGGATTAACACCCAGGAACTCTGGCTCCAACATCCCTGAGTCCAACAACTTCACCCTGCTGCAGTTCCTGCCCTTCATCCTTTGAGAAACAATCTCCTGCAAAGGGATGGGTCTCCATCCAAGAAAACTGAGAGCCTGGGGCCTTCAGAGTTGGAAAAGACTTTATAGATTTACATCCTTACTCATCCCACTGCACAGTTGAGGAAACCAAGGCCTCGAAATTAAGAAATTAATTAAATAATGTTCACAAGCAAGTGAAGGAAAAGGAATCCTGTACACTGTTGGTGAGTTGTACATCTGTAGATTTATTATGAAAACCAGTAGGAGGTGCTTTAAAAAATAAAACTACTATACAAAAGAATTAATTAATTGAATTGAAAGATTAAGTGATTAGCTCAAGGCTACATAGCCAAAATGGCAAAGCCACGGGATGCATTGGCTCTTCTTACCCACTCTAGGCTAAGAACCCTCTTTCAGCTCTCCATACCTCATTTTGTGCACTGAATTACATCCCCCCCAATTCATATGTTAAATACCCAAGGCCCTGTTCTTCAGAATAACCATATCTGTAGATGGAGCCCCAATGAGACTTCTAGGGTGGGTCTCTAATGCAATATGGCTGGTGTCCCATAGAAAGAGAGACAGTAGGGCTGGGAATGCCCAGAGTAAAGGCCGTGGTGTGAGAAGACACTAAGGGGAGCTGTCTGTGAACCCAGGTAGGAGGCATCAGGAGCAGCCAGTCCTGATGACACTTTGATCCTGGACTTTCAGCCTCAGAACTGAGGGGAAATAAGTTCCTATTCTTTGAATAACCCATTTTGTTATCACAGTCCCAGCAAACTAATACTATGTCCCAGACAGGCCACAGGCCTTAGAGACTGAGCTGGAAGCAGCTAGACCATGGTTCAGATTTCTGGGATTTCCCAGAGGAAAAAATGAAGTTTTAAAAAAATTTCCAATATCATAAAAGCCCAAGGGAAATGTAAAAAATACAGTCTAAGTAAATTGCAGTTTTCATTGCTTTTAGGTAGACTCTTAGTAAATCAATGTAGTAACATCAGCTATCTCATACTTACCCGAAACTTTAATAATAGATGTTTTTGATTAATTTAAAATGGGAAAATTACTTATCATTTCATAAAACTGATTTGTTTGATAAATAAAAAACTCAGGCTTTTCCATGAAGAGAAAGTTAAGCAGAAACCACTGCTTTTAATCCCTCAATTCCTTTATGTGGATCATCCAAGACTCATGCTGCTTAATCCTCTTCAAATTTCTAGAGCTCTTTCAGGGGTGAACAGAGCAAATTACACGGCTTTAGTCATTTTTTCCATCAGGGGTGTGGGAAGCCACTGTTTTCAAATGTGGGCGTGCCACTGACATTTGCTGGATGCTGTCTGTATTTCATTATTTTTCTGGGAGTCAATGAAATTTTAAATATCTCATGATAACAAAATACGAAAACAGTCTAATCGAACTGGTGAAGGACCCAGCTCTTTACCTAACAGAAGCAAGACTAAAAAGCCAAGCTATTCAGTATATGTAGTAGGCTATTGAGCGCCATCAAAAGACTGGATATGAAAGTTTGGCAAATAGTACTTTAAATAGAACTGCACATTTTATTTAAAAAATAACAGCAAAGGTGTGAAGAACACAAACTTCCATTAATCATAGAAGTTTATTAAATGCCTTATAGTAAAATATTGAGCCCTAATGCTATTATAACACACAGGCTGGATGTTCTAAGAATTAACACAGTGCCTCCACTAAGGAAGCTTGTGATACAAACTCAGGTGGAAGGGAGGGAGCTACACAGCCAGATGGACCCTCCTCCTGCTTTTCCTTTGCAGCTGCAAAACTGGCGTTCAGAAATATTTAGGCATGGGGGAAAACCTGTAAAGTTTCCTGAGCATTCCATTAAACAATTCTTAAAATTACAGTTCCTTAATGGAAAACACGAAACTTTTCTGATGGAAACATCCAGTTTAATATTTATTATCTTCAGGAACTGAGGACCACAATCCTAAAAATGTAAAGTCTTTGGAGTTATCATTTCCAGCACAAGGTAAATTTCAAGGCAATTTATCAAGGCCTAAATTTTCTTGAACCACCAAGGATGTGAAGATAAAAAGAAAAGTCAAGGTTAGCTGATTGTTTTCCAAATACCAGATCTACAAAATATTGGCGGAAGGTAAGTATGTGAAAATGAATGGATATTGGATGGTAACAGATGGCTAAAAAAAGGTACTGAGACTAGTTAGCATTAACTAGCAATGTATCGTCATTCATTAGTCAACAATTTCTTCATGTATACAATTATTTCAAGATAGGATTCCTACAAACTATATTTATTGGTTCATGATTTCTTCAAGTAAGAGTGCAAAGAAATTTTGATTCTTATTATCTAAAGGTATAGCGAATAGCATTTTGACTCTTATCCCTAAGAATATCTGGCATTCTCAGCCCTGGCTCTTGAATATATTGTTTCTTGATAAAATATCACTAAAACAGAACTGATGTGGCAAAAAATATATACTACCTACAGTATAGATAGTATAGTATAGATACCTATAGTAAAGATTCACAACCAACTTAGCTAATTCATATTATTGAGCTCACATAGAATCTAGATCTTTTTCCTCTTAAAAAATGTAACCAATACAAGTGCAGTTATTCAGAAAATCACATGCTACAGTTTGCACTGATAGTCATTTATAAATACATATTGACTACTGGGCCTGAATTTGATACTTCTAGTTCACACTTTACCTAAGTTTTCTCAGGTAAAGAAAACTTTACCTAAGTTTTCCACGTTGGACACCTCATCCTATGAATCTGACAATCAAAGAAAGAACTGAAAAGTGAAGAAAAGGAGTTTTAATTTGGATGCAAGCATTTTGTATTCATATTAATAAAAGAGATCATGCTTTCAAAGGAATGGAAAAATAAAATCATTTGTGATAATACAAAGTACTGCAGTCATAAGTCACCCAAGCATATAACCATCTCCATTACAGAACTAAGCAGCCAGTTCTAATAAACTACGAACCATTGGGTTAAAAAGGCTCACAGCCAATGCTTTAAGAAGGAAACACTGGTGAAAAGAGTTTTAAAATGAATATCCTTGTAAAATGATAGGCTTTATAAACATCAAAACCTTGTTTCAGAAGTTCCCCGCTTTAAGTTATTACTCAAAAACTCATCATGTTCAAAACTCAAATTATTATGAGATCTGGAAATCATAAGAAGCTTCTCCTTATTGGTAAAGTCTTTTTTGACTGCCACTTGTGGCACAAGCAACCTGTCCATTGGGTCCTCTTTGTTCTCTAGTTTCATGTATCCTTTGCTGTTGTTTCGATCCAACCGAGGCCAGCTTGGATGCTTCCGTTGTTCTGCCTGAACAGTGAGGGTGGAGGGACCCCGGTCTAAATCTAAGGATTTGGAGTGTGATGAGAGCAAATGCAATGATGTGTTGGACCCAAACTGTCTTCTAGCAGCTCCAGGAGACAACAGTTGTCCAGGCCCAGGTCCAAGGGCCATAGAGGACTTGTACTGACTTGACAAGGACTCCCCAATGGAATTATTCCTTGGGAGCACCATGCTACCTGGCTGGCAGGATTCCCTGGTGTTGGGCAAAGGGACCACAAGGGAATCCATTGACAAATTCCGTGACCTGCTTCTGAGGTTATCAGCATCCTCGGTGATGTTGTCTATACTGGGTTCATCAATAACACAGTTATTAAGTTTGATCACAGGCAGTGTAAAAGCACTGATAGACGATGACACAATTGACTTGGTTTCACATTTCTTAGGGCCGCTGGCTTTATCATCGGTTGTCTTGGAAGGAGGGGGATAGAGGCCAAAGACAGAAGCAGAGCTATCAGAGAGCAAAGGGGGCATAAGATGCCCTAAACTCTTACTTTCATTCAGCATAAGTTCATCTTCCTCCACAGAGCTGTCCATCCGAAAACTGCTCCGAAAACCTGAGAAAGAGGCAATGGTGTTTGCTGCCAGTCTTGAAGCACAGGAGCCCCCATTCTGTTTCACTTCTGTTTCCCCCACCAAGCCAGTGTACATGCCATTCATTTGCTTCTGCTCTTTGACTCTCAGCATGTGGATGTCAATGACTGTGGAGTAGATATCCCGCATGTGTATGATTTTGGTTTCTTTGTCACGATTTTCATGAAGAATGGCATTGGCACAAATGAAAATGAAAATGCCGATCCCCATTGTGAAGGGGCCAAGCATTTTCATCTTATCAGAATGCAAATGCTGCTCAAAGAAGCGGACCACCACCCCACCCTGGCTCCCAATGACCTGAGTTTCGTTTGTTGACAATGTTGTTTCAGCATCAATAAAATGCTCTTTTTGGGGCCAATATCCAAGGACGGCCATTGCAATTCCTACAATGGAGATGAGCACTCCTAAAATGAGGAAGAAGCCAGACGGGGAATAAAGCCGGATTTTGCCACGAACAATTACAACATCAGCCCGGGGCCGACGCCGGACTGGTTTCCTCTCTTGGGCAGCGGGAGATGGGCTGAGGTTGACATGCTGCTGTGATCTGGCAGAGTCTTGCCTTTTCAAGGCAGCCAGGCCAGTTATCACTCCACCAGTTGCTATCATAGCTTGGCCTTTTGTTCTGAAAAGAAAGGAAAGAGAAGATGATCTAAAAATGTTCCTGGGGTATGCTTATCAATTGAATTCCAAATTTGCTTACACATAATTTTTGTTGCTGTTAGTTTCCAATGATGAAATGAGGTGGAAGAATGTCTTTGCAATTGATGTAGTTTTGGTAAAAGTTTTATGAACTTTATGAAACATTATGAAATGTGAGCTTAAGGTATATTTTATTTAGATAATTTTATCACTTATTATATAAAACAGTCTCCGGGTCAGAAGACTTTCTCCTCTCTCTCTCTCTCTCACACACACACACATATCATTATCTGTTATTATTATTATTAAATCATAGCTGTGTACATTAATGCACTTATAGGATACAATGTGCTGGTTTTATATAGTATTTGAAATACTTTCAACTGGTTAACATAGCCATCACCTCACTTTCTTAATTATTGTGTTAAGACATTTATACTCTATGCTTAGTAGATTTGACACGTACCCTTGTAAAATGCACCATAGGTGTGGTCCCACCAATTACCCTCCCTCCACTTTTAAGTAATGGAAAAATCTAGAATACTTAGTAGGTCAAAAACAAACAGACCCCAGAGTAACAAAGAGAATACATTCCAGCAATTCATGCTTCTAAGACTAATCTTGTTAAAGTCACCAATAAATTCTTAACCACCACATTTAATTTCCCGCTCTCAATGTGATTCTTCCTTACCTCTCTCTTTCCATGGATGGTATTGGCCCCTCCCTGTCGATACTCTCTCTTCCCTGGTTTTCTATGAAGCTAAGTCCTCCTGGTTCTGCCCTGACCTTGCTGACGACTTCATTAGTCTCACCCCAAAGCAGACCATACCTCCCTAGAGCCCTTGGCCATCTTCTCTTCTATCTTCCCCCTGGGCATTCATAGCCATTCCTCCATCTCCCACAATTTCCTTTATGCTAGTGAATCCCAAGTCTTTACTTCAGGTAGTATCCTGAGTTTTAATTTCATATTTCCAACTGCCTGCTGGGAACATACACACCTTCATGCCCTGACAGCACCACGTCACTTTCCTTCCACTACAGACCAGCCGAACCACTTCACTCCTCTGACTTAGTTACAAACTCCTCCCTTTCTCTTATCTTCCAATCGGGTTCTAAATCTTAGAAATTTTTACAACAAGACCTCTCTCTATTTCACCCGTGTTCCAACCCTACTCTCTCCCAGCCCCATGTAGCTTTTATTAACTCTTACTAGGCCATTATACAACCTCTCAACTGGTCTTCCCAACTCCAATTTCTCTTCCTTTACAATCAAACTTACCTGCAGAGAGCAGATAAACTGTCCTAAAAAACAGCTCTGAAGTTGTTTAAAGAGACGAATAATAGATAAACAGTTCCCACGACCTACCAAAGTTAAATCTGGGAATCCAGACCATGCAGCATAACTTTATAACTTTTCCTCTAACTTTTCCCTTTACTTTTCATAAAACTAAAAACCTAACAAATGTTCCCTATCTCTCATTAATATTCCAGGCTGCACTTCAAGTTTCTGAGACTTTAAGAATGTGTCAGCTGTCCAGAAATCTTGCCCCACCCCACCCCAGTCTTCATATCCTGACATCTGGCTGCTCATCAAAGCTCAGATTCCACTTCCTTTATAAAGCCTCCCAGGACCGACGTACCACATCCCAGGCCAGTGCTCATTTCTCAAAGCACTTTATCCAGCTTTCCCTGGCACCTAATAGTATTACAATAGCCTAGTTCTTCCATTTCAGGTGGTCAGACATCAAATTTAATTCATAATGTCATTACCAAAAACGTTCACACTATAGTACCTTCCGTACACAGCACAAATACATATAAGTATTTGCTAAAATGCTAAATAGGGGAGTGACTCGGTCCTCCAGATTTGCGGGATAGCCATGACATTATCATACTAACTTTTCTAGCTAAAAATAAGGACAAACAAAACTGATACCCAAACAAAAAACAACATTTTGTGAGTTGGTAAAATATCCTTTTTGATTTGTAATAAATAGTTCTCAAGCTGCCAAATCTGGCTGGTAGGAAAACAGGAGATATTTTAAGAACAGGGCATCGCATCTCGTCTTGCAGCATTAAGCCCTCCTTTTGCATTTCTATTTATGATTTCTGAATTGTGTTTAAACACCAGAGTTGTGGATGGTATCTGCAAATTTAGCAAGCTGGTGAGTAAACCAGCCTTCAGTGAAATTATAACTAGGATCAAAATAGTTTAAAGTTGGAAGAACAAACTAAATGGTAACCTGTAGCTCTAGACTTTGAAATTTATCAGAGTGCACACACTACAGCTCAGAACTTCTCCCAAGCCCTGGGTAAAGCAAAGCTTAGTGTCAACTTACATTTTCTTGAACCAAAAACAGTTCCAAATCTTTGAGTCAAATGCTTAGATTAGATAGCAACCATCTAACCCAGTTATTTCCATATGGCAGGCTAGGGATTTAGTCTGAAATCCTGCTGAATAGAATAGAAACAAGGGCAAGTGCCTTTCATTCGGTTTAAAAGCAACCAGAGTGCATTCCATTCCATACAGGCTCCTTCCTCCCCCACTTTTTAAAACCTCTTCTACTGACACTGCCATGTTCTATTCTAAGGTTAATAGAAGAAGGGGCTAGAAGGGGAAAATATGTATTTTAAGAAGGATATATGAATGGAAGGGTGAAAAAGAGAGATGAATGGCTGGGTTTCTATGTGAGTGTGTGGAGTAAGCAGGTTAGACTAGACAGGAAGAAAACAATAAGGGTAGCTTAAGAGTGTGAACATTATTATAGAAAATGAAAGGAGATAAAAACTTCTAGAGTCATTCAGAAATAAAGACTAGCATGGTGATAAGCATGGGGAAGGAAGAATCATACAGATTCCTTAGCTGATCCACCTTGGTCAGTCCCACACAGGGCAGCAAGACTCTCAAGGAGAAGCAAGACCAGGGGCTGGTGCCAATGTCCTCCTTTATTTCAGTTCAAGGCAATTTGACACTATGTGAGCCTTTGCTGTTATGCCTCAGGGACCCAAACTCAACCCTGGGTGGGGGAAGCAAAGGTGAGCAACTCAGTCCCTGCTTCCAAGAGCTCAAAAGCTAAAGAAGGAGCTAATATATCTACATAAAGCAGAATGAGGGGACTCCTAGCATGGAAGTTTCCATTAAGGAAGGACATTTCCAACAGGCTTCCTGCAGGAGAGAGAACATTGATCACAGTCAGAAACCAAATTAGCAGCAGTGCAGGAAAAGAAGCAGGCTGGGAACAGGAGCCTGGCCCGCCTTCACACGCAGCTCAGCACACGGGAGGTGAGCCAGGTAAGAGAAGAGGGCCAGGCCTCGGAAGGTGGCAAAGGACATTTCTAAATGCTTGAACTTTACACTTTACACCATGGAGGTGGAGTTAGACACAAATACTGTTGTCATTATTTTAGGAAAATTAACCTCAAGTAGTAGATGGAAGCAGTAAAAAGGGGCTGATACTGGGACGCAACATGAGGATGCTACAGGCAGTGTCACGACAGGAGACCTAGAGAAGCTGGAAAACCTGGCGCGAGGGAATCCACTGGCTTCTGCATCTTCCAACTGCAAAGCCAAATGGTCCAAAGTGAAGTGTTCGGTCTATGTCAAAACAGCCCAAATCTGCTCTCCTATTGATGCTGCCAAGCCTATCTCCTCCATTCTATGCTTTTGATCACTATTATTTTGGGTTTTTTGTTTGTGTTATTTTGTAGTGTGGGGATATAGAGACCCTATGAACCAGTGTCCATATAGTAATGTATTGTACCACTCACGTAAGTTTAAACAATAATAGTGATAATAGCTCTATAAGGAGACTACAAAACATTGATGAAAGAAACTGTAGATATATAAACAAATGGAAAAGCATCCCATGCTCTTGGACTGATAGAATCAATATTGTTAAAATGTACTTGCTGCCCAAAGTGATTGACAGAGTCAATGCAATTCCACTTAAAATACCACCATCATACTTTGAGGAACTTAAAAAAATAGTTCTTCAATTCATGTGGAACCAGAACAAAAACCCAAATAGCCAATGCAATTCTACAAAATAAAAACAAATCTGGAGGCATCACATTACCAGACTTCTGATTATACTACAAGTCCACAGTGATCGAAACAGCATGGTCTTGGCATAAAAATAGAGACATAGATCTATGAAACAGACTTGAGAACCTAGAGATGAAAATAGCCTCATGTCATCATCTGATCTTCAATAAACCAAACAAAAACATACACTGGGAAAAAGAATCTTTATTTAATAAATGGTGTTGGAAAAACTGATTAGCCACAGGTAAAAGTCTGAAACTGGACCTGCACCTCTTAACAGTTACAAAAATTAATTCATAATGGATAAAATGTTTAAATCTAAGACATAAAATGATAAAAACTCTAGAAGAAAGTGTCGCAGAAATTCTTTATGATATTGGCCTCAGCAAAAATTTAGGAAGACACCAATGGCAAAACTATAAAAATAAATAAGTGGGATCTGATCCAGTTAAAAAGCTTCTGCACAGCTAAGAACACAATCAATGAAGCAAATCGACAGCCTTTAGAGTGAGGGAAGATATTTTCATGTTATGAATCTGACAAAGGGCTAATAACCAGAATATACAAATAACTCAAACAAATCAACAAGAAAAGAATGAACAACCCTATTAATCACTGGGCAAGAGACATGAACTGAATCTTTTCCCAAGAGGTCAAACAAATGGCCAACAAACACATGAAAAATGCTCATCATTCCTAATCGTCAGAGAAATGCAAATCAAAACCACCCTGAGATATCACCTCACCCCAGTGACAATGGCTCGCATCACAAAATCCCAAAGCTGTAGACGCTGGTGGGGGTGCAAAGACAGGAAAAGCTTATGCACTGTTGGTAAAATTGCCAACTAATACAGCCCTTTTGGAAAGAAGTATAGAGAAACACAAAGAGCTAAAATTAGACCTTCCATTTGATCCCACAATTCCATTACTAAGTATCT